AGATTATGAGCATTTTTTACAGAAATCCATCCATTGCACAAAGGAACTATGCTTGATTTACCAAATATAAAAATAAAGCTCTACAGTGATTCAATGGACTACAATCAGAAAGTAACTCACAATAGCATTCTTCCACTGAAACTGCCTCCACCTATCCCAGGAGAATGGGTAAGAGCCTGCATATAAATGCAAACGAGGTAAAACTTGGAATAGAAATGTTCCTGCCTCTTAAGAGAACTCCATATTTACTGGCAATTTTAGCCAGCAACTCATTAGCTCTGATTTTCATATCTAAGTGCACTATTTTCAAACTATTTTTAGGTATTTATTTTTATTTGTATTAATAACTCATTGATCTCCATTTCTCAAGTTTGCTTTATTTGCGATTTTCAGACCTCCTCTTTCATTTTCAGATCTCCTCAATGGCACAGAAGTCAAAGTCTGGAAAGATCAAGCAAAACTACAGACAGTTTGCTATGGAACACAATAATTAGCCATAAAAAGGAAGAAATGTCCCTTTTGCATGGGGATCAAGAAGAATCAGCAAGCATTAAGCAGTCAAGGTCAAACTCCCCTATAGTCTTCTGTAAATATAAAGGGAAACACTACATTTGCTTAACTGCAGTGAGGGAGATTTAGATGAGACATTAAAAAACTCTTTTATAACAGTAAAGATAGTTAGTTAAGCACTGGAACAGATGGCCTATGGAGACTGTGGAGTTGCTATCACCGAAAGTTTTCAGAACAGGTTAGAAAAACATCTGTCTGCAATATTACAGGTACAGGTAATTCTGCCTGGAGGTCTAGATAACCTCGTAACATCCTTTCTAAACTTATTTTCTAAGATTCTGTGAAAAAGCAGACAAATTTAGGTAGAAGACTTGAGAAAGTAGAAACTGGCAATATACAAAGTATTTCCTACTTACTTCAATATTTACTATTTACTGGCTTTGCTTCAAACCCTCCTGTACCAATTCGGTGATTTACAGCCACTTCCTAAACCATCTCTGGTGAAAACACTATTAAAAACATGAATAAAAACCTCATTATCCTCATTGTCTAAATACCTGTGTCTGAGAAGCAATCTGCAGCTCAGATTCTACCTGTTGAGCTGGATACGTCCATGCTGGCTTTGATTTCCTTGCTGAAACCACAGGGCTGCTGGATGGAAGTGGTGCAATGTTACCTTTACTAGAGGAATATTTGCCATAAACTGCTTCCTTTGACTTTGGGAAGGTGATGGTATCTGTATTCTCAGGGTCCACCCTACTACTACTCTCTCCTGTACCAAAGAAAAAAATTGATCACAGGTTTCAGTGTTAAAATAAGTGCAGCAATGGCATCAAATTGATATTCTACCACTTACCATTAGGTACTGGCTTGCTCCCATTTGCTCTCATGTCCAAGCAAGTTGCAGTTTTCAGGAGTTATCACCAAAAAAATTAAGGGATGCCACTGGATGGCCATAAACTAAGCCATGCTATAATAGGTTGCTACTGTGAATACTAAGATTAGGCTATAGGAAAAACGTATCACAGTTTTAACCTATAACGTCCTAAAGTCTGTAGAACACGCCAGCCAACATTATACCCAGGATAACAACTTAAAAATATTAGCACTCCAGGTTATTCCATATATAATTTTAGTTTTCAACCACCCCTTTTCATTAGGGGAACTTTTCAAGTTTATGGAATTGCTACTGAGCTCACTGCTCATTTTGCTTATGCTCCTTTCCATACTGATGTTATATGCCACAAACAGCTGTAGCAACAACAGTTTTGAGTACACTTTGCAATAGATCAGAATCCCATTGCCCAGAGTATATTCACTTACTAGGAGTCATTCATTTAATCAAACTGGCAAAATAGAAGCTTCATCAGCTTGTTGTAAGCCATATAAGCCATGACTTAAAGTAACCATTTGCTTTACACTAATTCTAATGGTCAGATCTTCAGATTCAGGTGCTTCAGATTTGAAACATGCAGGTAGGAACCTACTGGAATGTCAGAAATGAACAGGGACCAAATTCTCACAGGGATTAAGAAATGTGATTCCCATTCCATGGCAAGACATAGGATGCTAGTGCACTTAGTATTTTTTAGGAATTTGAGTGAGTGCTCCTCATCCAGTGGCTTCTTTGTGAGATAAAACAAGGGGCTGAAAGTAAATTTGGAGATGCAGTTGATGGTTGTTATCAATCCTTTGCACTCACCTCCAGATGACTTCTTGTGCTGCCTGTGAAATTCATGGAAAGATGCTGCTTTGGATACAACAGGATGTGTCTGGAGAGTTATCTTTGCTGCTGGAGGGATAAGCCTTTGTTCACTTAGGCTCAGAATACCTACACAAGAGGATGGCATTACTGAACAATTCATAAATATTCCAGCTATCAAAGAAAAAGAATTAGTAACAATAAAGAAAGAATTAAACAAAGGCAGACTCAAGTTCTTCCAATTCCAAATCAAGACCAGAAAAGCAGCAGTTTTCTTTTATTGAAAGATTCTTATCTTTCAATATTCAATATTTTACCTTCAGGGAAGGTGAACTTTGCCTATAAAAATTGACAAATACGTGAAACATATTGTAATGGTGCTGATTCTCAGAAGGAATTATATGCTTGTACGATGGCAATTTAATAGGCAGAATGGATGAGAATTAACTCTTGTAAAACCACAATGTAATCATGTAATCATGAATATGGGCTGATTTCTAAAATAGTCAAGTGCAGGTCTAGTTAAGATTGAATGGTTAATAACCACACATTAATCATGACCATTTATTCTGACCATGTTATTTAGTCATACAAGAATCCTCCATCACACACTGTTCTTTCTTCCAGTAGCATCTTAACTCTGTGAATTACAAGATAACTCACTCAGGGAGGGTGATGCTCAACATAACATATGCTACGTCCTAAGCTAGCTACCACATGGAGCAGGTAGTCTGAAGCTGATCTCTCAGCAACATTTGAGATCACAATTCTTACAAGTTTTGAGGTGCCAAAAAACTTGATTACCAGATACCGGCTGCAAACAGCAAACACCACTGCTTGTGTAGCATACATCTGGTGGCAACAGTACCCAGAGGGGCTTATGTGACTCACCTTTCCTTATATCTTCTTCTAACAGGGGTAAGGGAGAATCCATGTGGTGATGCGCAGGCAAACGCCAAAGGCTGCTAACTGTATGACTTTTCACTGTCTTCTGACTACACATCTAGGAAGAGACAGAATCTTCTTTTAACAAAGAGAAATCCCGGATTTGCAAAGACACAATTCTCTACTCTTGTAATAATAATGAAACTACTCATAGCAGAAATTTTACTTAAGATTTAATAACGTAACAGTACAAACACTGCTTTTACTGCTTATGAACATGCTACAGTATCGTCTACTGTCATTACTTTAGCAATTTAAAATAAAGTTAATTAAATTGATGTCTTGTGACTTTTGCTATGCAAAAATCAGTGTACTAGTTAATAAAGGAATCGCAAAAAGTTTGCTCAATTTTAATGAGTATAGTGTAAACATAGTATTCCTTGACAGAACAGCCTTTGAATATATAAAATGCATACACAGGCAAGTACCAAAAGAAAAGGAAATACTTTCAAATATATAAATACACTTTTTCTGGGAAGAATATAAATGGAATTAAAATAGGTGAAACTATTCACAAATCAGGGAACAGTAAGTATCCCAGACTTCTGAAGTTTCAGGGTTCCTCAAGGACAGCAGGGAATGACACAGCCTGATAATGTGGAAACATGGGCCTTACTGGCTGTGCTAATGTGGGGATTAAAGCTCACTTATTTCCCCAATTAACCTGTGCTTGCCTGAAACCTGATGGTTCTAAGTGCCAGGAATTCAAGCAGTTACACACATCACTTTGGGATAGTGATATCATGTGTCTTATTGTTATGCTTATTATCGCACATATAGAGCATCGCACAGGGAAAAGAGTATATTGCCACCTTATACTTCAGTATTATAAATACAAACCCTCTGTGTTATCATCTAACATTGTTTTTCCTCTCTCCAGTATCCTAAGTATCTTCAATTTCTTTCTGACTAGGAATACACATACTATTCCATTTGAAGTGTGGGTTGTCTAAATAAACAGACAGCTAGATATTCAGTGGGTTTAAAGCATTACAGCACATTCAACTTCAAAGCAAGTAACATCATGGAGATCTCTCACTTGATGATAGTGAGAATCACCAGCAGAAGACTATGTTATTTTCTCTTGCCTGGCTGATGCTAGAAAAATGAGACAATGATAAACATAGAGAGACATGAAATATTAAACTTAAATAAATTCAAATGTTTCATAAAGCAAAAGGAAAGTTTAACACTAGCCTATCAAGCCTTACTCTGTCAACAGATTTTTGGAAATCTAGATAAAGGTTTCTTAGTCTTAGCAGCTAAACTACCTAGGTATCAGGCATGCTCTAACAGAAGTTGCTCAGAACTTCCTCTGAAACTGCAACTCTGCAACTTTACAGGTTCGCCAGTAACTTTCATGCTGGGTCCAGGCAACACAAGAAGGAAGCGATTAAATTTGAATGAACAAGGTAGGTAAGTGCCAACACACAGGTGTGAATATATTATCAATCTCAAGAAGAAAGGTAGTTGGAGGGGCACACTGAGTCTTTGGGCAAACATAAAAGCCAGCAGGTAGTTTGGACAAGGAAAAATACCTGGGGGCAGCAGGGTTAGGAAGGAACATTGGGACAGGCTGGACAAAGAGCCTGGCAGAGAACCAGGCAGGTAAGACTAGGATATGTTCTGGAAGCAGTCTCAGAAGACAATCCCAAAGAACAGAGAGACTGGGGCAAGATCAAAAAGGGAAAAAGAGGAAACTAGGGCAGACTGGGAAAAGGAAGCAGGCAGGTTTGTATACACATCTCCCTGACGATTTGGAGTGGACCTCATGATCCCACAGTCTCATCTTTAGTCAGCAAATAGCTGCAAAGCACAATAAAAAAAAAAATTAAAAAAAAAAAAGTTCCATGCTTTCATGGGTAATAATCTGTTACCAATTACTCCGTTAGTCTAATGGTCAGAAATTCTTATGTTGGATAGAAAGGTTCTATCCTGACTGAGAGCTAGATGGAAGACAACCTAATACCATGTGCTGGAAATGTTTTTAATTTGCTTTTTAAAAAAAATATTTCATTATGAATTATAAACTACCTTAAAATAATAGTAAGTACATGAAATCTGAAAGTTAAGAAATATTGATAGACCTGCAAAATGGGAATAATTGTATCTACCTCTTTTATAGACCACATTGGGACTTCCTGGTTTAAAATACTAGGTTTTAATAACCGATTATCACGCTTGTGTACAGCTTTTAGTACAATAGGATCTAAGCCATGATTGGGATCTGTGAGCACTACGGTGTCATAATTAGTGAACAACATCAACCATCAACTTCACAGAAAGGGATAGGCAATTCTAAAGAAGTGCTTACAGCTCCGATACGGAAAGGAGACAGAACAAAATAAACTATTATAATTTTTCCTCCCAATTTTTATAACACTGTCCGCAAGAGATATTGGGGAGATAGAAAATACATAGGCTTTATCATAATGGAGAATCTTTCAGAGAATTCATAGGCACTCATTTTAGTTATGGTCATTCTGAAGCATTATGCTTTAAGGGATCTAGATGTATGAATCTTCATCTCCTTGTGTTCCAAGAAAGTGGCAATAAGCACATAACAAAGATTAACTTTATACCAGCTGGCATATAAGTGGCTTGATACTGAGAGAAGGGAATAATAAACCATACTTTTCTACTCACTCTCAGCCCCAGCACTTTGTTGAGGACATAACAAAAATATATAAAAAGAAAGAAATTTAATTAATCAGTGACTCCTTTTTCAGGCTATTGCTATTGTATCAGTAAAGCAGCACTGATTTTATTATTGGTCAGTTTTATCCTAGTTTAAATCTCAGGGGTTTTATGATAAACAGCACTATGAAAAATATGTATTTCATTTGTGCTCATAGAGATGTAATAAGCTACAAAGAAAAGCAATTCAGGAGGAGTGCATGAGTTCAAAAGCAGCCTAGAGGTTTCTTGGGGTTTTTTTTGGTGGTTCTTTTTTTTGCTTGTTTCCCCCCCCGGGGGCAGAGGCGGGGGGGGGAGGGTGTTGTTTGGTTTTTTTTTTTTTAACTGGAGACAGGTATTTAGTAGTTTTTTTGCTGTATCCTTTAATTTCTATCAAGTCCATGGCAGGTGTCACATTAAAACAAGGACAAATGCAACTGTAAAGTAACTTAAGCTCTCATTTACACTGTGCACTGCCACTATGATTCACTTCATTACATAGTACAGGCAACATAGTTGAACTACGGAGATGACCCAAAACACATACCTATGAAAATTCCAATCTGTACACCCATTTTCTCTGTTCTTTCAGCATCCTATTTGCTGCATTAGCTGCCCTCTTGAAGACTTCAGTGAGATATCAAAGCAAAATTTGACTAAATGCTTTCATCCTTCAATTATTTTTCAATAAAATTAAGCTAACTCAATCGAAATAATAAGAGTTTAAAAATAATAAAAATACTAAGTACTGTTAGTACTAAGAAAAAGGTTTACTTTTTGCATCATTATGTAGTTCTATTACCATTATTCACTGATTCAACTTAAAGAGATATTAAAAAGATTGCATAATTTCCATAGACTTCCATCTGCTTATGTCAGCGCAATTTAAAACCTTTACTCACACCTACAGCTTTTACAGCATAAACACAAAAACTATTGAATTTCATATCACATATTCCAGAACTGGCAGCTCCTACCTAGCATTTTAATGTTTGCAGTGTAGACAGAGCCAAAACAGCATGGAAGCAAAGGATTACACCCTATATAACCCTAACCTATAGGCACCTTACCTGCTTCCTCTCTGGCAGAACCCAAGCAACGGTTACTGCTATGAGGTTGTTGGAACCGCAAACATTTTCCTGCATGAATAATGTCTTCTAGTCAAGTTTGTTAATGAAGATTGTGATTCAGCAAGTATACTTTACTGAAGTCAGCACACAGCCTGCTTCATCATGGGTACTTTTAAAGTACAGTTTTATAGGGCTGGAAGGGAACACTTAATTTGCAGTGCAGACTAAGGCTTACTTGCCTGATAATATGCTTGGAGTGTGCTGAAAAACTATTTTTTCATTTCAAGCACTTCTGAGTGTAATTAACCTGGGACATGAGGAAAAACAATTCTATTACCCTTTCTAAAGTGTTTTTCTCCTGTGGATAAACCTCTCCCACTTGATTTTTGTTTCTTTTTGCTTCATTTTAAATAGGGCACTTCTTGTAACACCACAGGGATTTTCCGATTAGTTCTCTATTTGTTTTCTTTTCACCTAGACAGCAATATTTAACTAGAACAATTTATTTTTTAAAATATGTTTATAAATATGTTTTTCCCACAGTAAAAGAATAGAGACCAGTATTAAATACAGAGAAAAGATGAGTACTATTATATATCAAAACTACAGTTTATCAACCAGGAAGATTAGATAGATGAGATTTTGTAAGTAAATATCAGAAAACAAGAGAGCTCAGTAGGAATGATGGAAAAGGTATACAACAGAGTAATCTATCATTTCATTATTATCTTCTCCAAATTTCCATTTACCTTCATATTTTTTTATTAAGAAGTTCCTATCAAATTGATGTACACAGCTCATAATCCCTAAAAAGAGAAGTAGGAAGCATAGGAAAATAAAATCAATGGAACTCAGGTCAGTTTTCAATATGCTCAAAAAACTGGCAGGAAAGAGTCTAAGGATTCTAAGGCAAGTCTAAGGAAAACTGGAACTCCATCAAACTGCTTGTTCCATAGATTAAAAAGTACTACAGAAACAATCTCAAACTATTCCAGAGATGAAGCAGGATAGGAAGCATAGAAAGTTACCAAACTTGATAAATCATATGTTCTTCATTGATCTCAAAAGAAGAAAAAAGCATAAAGAAAACAGAAAATGGGCATATTGATGACTGCTTTTTGCTTGCATAATGAGATGCAAGTAGGAAGAGATTTATTGGTAATAAAAATGACATAATTAAGAACATTCATAATTATAATTTAAAAAGCAGCTAGTTACAAGTAGAATCAACTCACTCAATTGTAAAGCAAAAGTAAATATGTCTCAGGCTACCTTGAGGGCAAAACAGGTCAGATAGCGCTCAGAGGTTTTCCAATTGGCTGGTCCTGATGAAATAAAGCTTAGGATACTTAAAGAACTGTCTACGGCAATCTCAGAAATGCTGGTAGTACTCTTGTAGAATGGAAAATATACTAGAAGACTGGAAAAGAGCATAATGCCTATCTTTAAAAAGAGGCAAAGGATGTGTTGAGGAATTCTAGCCCTACTGGTTTAACTACAATTCTTGGAAAAATTCTTAAACAAATAATCAAACAAGCTAATTATAAACATCTAGAAAGTAACAAATAAATGAGCAACTCGAACCTGTCAAGATCAAATTTGTCAGACCACTCTAATTTTTTGTCTACAACAAGTTAGCAAGAGCTGTGAATAGGAGAGAAAAAGTACTACTTATCTTGACTTTAGAAAGGCTTTTGAAGCTACCTGATAATGGTATTATATAAGCAAGCTAAGAAATTACGGTTTAGACAAACTTACTTTAAGGGAGGTACAAAGCTTCTTTGATAAATAATTCAGAAAGAATTTCTATGTCAGTATGGAAGGATATTGAGTGGATTCAATGGGTCTGTCGCCTAAGTGGTTATAAATCAACAGAGTCTGCTGTTCACACAGGGGAAGGACGTATGTGAATTTTGAGCAATGGGAGGAAATCAGTTTGGATTGTAAAAGACTCAAATGGAGTAAAGGCAGAGGCACTGAATGCCTTTGCTTAGAATGTTTCTCTGTAGGACATTGCTTAGAATGTTTCTCTGTAGGACATCAAGTCCAATCTTGAGGCTACTACCCACAATAGATCAGGTCAGCTTTGGTTTTGTCTAGCTGAGAATTACTGTAGGACTTTATTGCATTTTATAGTTTCACAACCTTACAGTCTAAACAGATGTATTTTTCCTGTGTTGATTTACAGCCCGAGCAGCAAAGCATGGATGCAGTACCAAAGAATAGTCCCTCTCACTTCTATCATCTATCAGTTTCTACTGGGAAGAAGAATCTCGTTCTGACAGTCAAGCCAAATAATCTTAGTAATAAATAGTAAATAAAGAAATTGTTTAACTCTGATTTCAAATAATTTCGGTCCTCCGAGTCTAAGAACCAGCACATGGAATTCAGTGCAGAAATACCGACTGCTAAGTATAGGACAAATTCTCACCGGTGTCAGTGGAACTGTTCTCAAGTCAGATGAGTCACATTTGTAACAGACTGTAAGAGACTTAAAATATGAACAATTTTTAAGACTGGCGCTCTTTTTATTCAAGAAGATTTCTGAGCAAGAAAATTATATAGAAAATTGAAGTTTGCCCTTCTCATTCTTATTTACATAGTCCAGCGTTTTAGCTACCTAATGATTGATACAGTTTCCCTTAGATGTAATACTGAAATATTAATACATATTATTTCCATCAGATTTTGTTTATCTACAGGAAATAAAATCCAATTTAAGTGGAAAGCCCAACATAAAACTTCAATATGGAGAAACAGGGCATCTTCAACAACAGGTCTCATATGTTACTCTTACCTACTTTAAGCTCCTAAAGTAACCAGAGTTATCTCTGAATTGTCAATTTTCCACATACTTGGAAAAATCATGCTTTGCTCCTTTGATGGCCTACAGGTAGCTCTCCCAGACATTTACCTCTATCAAAAATTCTGCCATAACAGGTGCAAAACAGAATAGATGGGAGAACTTTGGTGAATCCCACATCTGCTTTTCTAAAAAGGCAACAGAAGCAGCACAGAAGGAAGTAAGAAAGGTAATTGCTGGCTTGAACTACAATACATTTTACTTGTGGGCAAAGGGCCAGCTTACACAAGGCAGAATATGCAGGACGAACTCATTGGAATTCAGGGGTGGGCCTCCATTCTTGTCCGGAGACAGCTGTAAACCAGCAGCCCATAGCATCACAATCAGGCACCGAGTTTTGTCAAGGAATGCTGATATGTACGGAAACAGCTTCAGCAGCTTCAGCTGCACCCCTACCTAGCAAAATGACAGTCAATCTCCAATTCCAGATGACAAGAACTGGATAAAAACTTAAAACAAATGGTGACCTTTCAAAAGATTAATTTGTTTACCAACAAAATGTTCTACGTTTGTCATCTGAGATGGGGGTGACCTTCACATTCCCATTTCTAGGTTGAAAGGATGCTGACTATAGTAATCTGTTAACTCTCTCTCACCAATTATTTCCGTTTTATTTTTAGTGACAAGAAGATTTTATTAATTCCCCGTGTTGTTTATTATGATTACATACCATAATACAAATGCAACAAGCTTATTTTGAATTACTGTAGTGTAACATCGATTTGTTTAAGTCTCATTCTGCTACCACTGCCAAATCATGCTTTGACTGTAATTATAGCCATATGCATAGGTTTAAAACACAATCAGGTTTGGAGGACCAAAAGATCTGTTTTTCTTCTACAACTTCCTCTAGTCACTTGAAATTAAAAGAATTGCCCTCCTTTGCCTTACTTTATAATTTTGGAAATTAATAGACTTTCAGGGATAAGCATTAGTGATTAGCATGATGCAAATAACTGAGGATAAGATTAGAATGACTGTGCTCAGATAAGTTAGCTTAAAAAAACCTCACCACAACACAGAATCACTGCCATCACCATTAGAGCCACACTATATAAGATGCAACTCATAAAGACTAGAAATCATCACCATATTAAATTCTACCTTATGAATAAATTAAAGGGTTCCTAAGTTTACAGTATAATATACATTTATAAGAAAACAAGGACTAAAAAGTGCCAGTATAATTCTACAAAAGAACAACAGTCCTATGAAAATGAAAGGTATAGTTGTGAATCTTTTCTACATTGCAGCAGTACGTCAGAATTATTTTTGCTGCAATTCAGATTACTATTTGTTTTGCTAGACATTCCATGGGAAGTATACATATTTAATAATTATCTATTCATCATTTTTCATTTGTTATCCAGATATAGGCTACAATATAAAGTGATGCCCAGTCTGCCCATGGTGTTTCAAACACAATTATAGTCCTCATTTTAAGGTAACTACAGAACTTTACAGAGAATGAAGCATTAGTGCTTATCAGACCCAAAAAGGTACAAAAGGGCAATAGTTAATTGTTCTTAGTTTCTCTTATAAAATCCAGTGTCAGCAACTTTATAATACCAAAAGAGCAAGAAAAGACGACATTTTTCATGAAACAATGAGATCCTTACTAATAATTTTTCGAACTACTCAAATGGCAGGATAATAAAAAGTCCATGTAGATTTGTGCTTGACCTATCTAGTCACCTCAAAACCAGTGTGTTTTTAATCTCATCACATTTTTAAATGCTCAGGTCTCTTTGAAAACTCGGATGCTGACAACTCTTGAAAAAACCTGAATGCAGTTAATCAAGCAATTAGTTTTTAATTTACTTCAATGAGAGTCCTTCTGCCACTGATTTTCAAGATAATCTTTAAACTTATGTACATATCTAGGGCATGTACATGGGTATACGTGTGTGTGCCCGCACGTGTATGTACAAATATTGCCCTCTAACGGCTGATGAGTAAAAACAGGGTAAGTAGCACCTAACTTAATTCTTGTAGCTACTTTAACTGATTTTTTTTCAAAAATAAAGACAATATAATTTTAGACCTGCACACACCTCTTTATTTTAGTTACTATTGGTGATCTATAACTATCATTCCTCTAAATGCTAGTATTCACATTCAACAAAAATGCCTTAATTCACATGCCAGTAGTGGATTTTGCAAATCTAATTGCCAAATTTTACCCCCAGTGAAGTCAGAACATTTCAAAACACAGATTGTATCATGGGACTCAAAAACGTCTAAAAAGCATTTACTTAAGTAAATGCTGCAGAATAAATTAGAGATAGGACATACCTACATGTTTTTTCAGCCCATCTCCCTGTCATAAACAGTTCCTTAGCAACTGTAAATATGTATCAGAGAGCTTGAGTAATTGTCACTAAATGTTTGTAATTTAAGTTTTCTCTGATCAGTATGTTTCAGTGAGAGTGGTAAAACACATGGCTCTCTGCAGTAGTATAATATTCCTCTCTGTGAGTGTTTTAGAGTGGTTCTAAAAAGCTATTAGCCATGATGCTTTTTTCTAATTAACTCTATATCACAGGGTTAGACAAATCACCTCTTAGTCTGGGCAACAGCTTTCAAAAATCATTTTTTATAAGTGGCAGCTTACAACTGTGCCATTCACAGATTCTTTTTATGTTGTTTAAAACCAAATACCCTATAATGTCTCTCATAGCACTGGGCTTGCTGCATAATGCTTCTATTACATAAAGTAAATTGTAGACGAGCATCCTTGTGTGAGACCATTGGGCGTATTCTTTCATGTGGACCACAGTGCTGTGCTAAATTAGTGAACATAATTGATCTTTGGAGGGATGCCAGTGCCGATTAAATGTTTTTAAAAACATACTTTGCAGAAAATGTCATCTTCACGTTCATTTGTTTATTTAAGAGGAGCAGCAGTTGCAGAGCAGAATTTTGGGAGAATCAAAACTTAATCTTGCACAGCTTGAACATTCTCAGACCAGAGAGAAGAATAGAGAAGGGTGATTTGACAGCGACTACTCAGAGTACTCTTCAGAGAGTGTTGTGGAAGTGCTCAGTCTCAGCTTCAGTAGAAAACAATTAGCTACCAAGGGAAACAGCTTGACCAGGGATAAAAGAAAGGCTGCGCGTCAGAATACCTTGTAGCTCAACAGTAAGGATACTCGGGACCTACAAGACATGGAAATATCTCCATATAGAAAGGAAGCGTATGAATCTGTCCCTCACGTTCCAAAGTATGTATTCCCAGCATGGAGCTAATAAGTAGAATTCAACATTCCCTCCCAAACCATGTCAGAAAAATAAGACGTAAACAACACCTAAAATTATATAGTCACTCTAGGATTCTGATTCTCTTTCAGTATAACCTCTATTTTTTTGATTCAGTGACACTGATTTCTGGTCAGGGTCAGCAATCATATGGCAGGATTGAATTTTCAAAAAAAGTCAATTAAAAAGAACATCAAATAAAAGTACAAGCATTTCTCACTTACTCCTAAGAATCCTATTATCGTTTGAAAACAGAATGTATTCTTGTCTTTTTAAGAAATGGTCAGAGAACGAACAACCGAAAGCCCATTCTTGTCAGCAAAACCCCTTTTAATTCTTCCTTGATCTCTGGGTCACATCCTAAACTCCACAAGCTCCAGTTTGCTTATCTTCACTCCCTGATTTTACTGAGATGACTTACCATGCACGTTCCCATGTATATTTATACTTTTGCTGGACTGGGGTCTTGCTACCTAAACCTGTTATGCTATAGGTTTTCCCCAGTATTATCACCCCAAATGTCTTGATTGTTACATATCAATGTCAAAAAGTAGGAAATTATGAGGTGCTTTCACTTAAAATAAATTTTTTAGTTAGGTCTGATATGTATTAACTTTAATAGCGATAAGTAATGCATCTAATAAGCCCATAAGATCATGTAAGTTACTCACAGGAGCAGATTTTTTCTTAGTTATAAGTGGCAGCCTGGTTTCACAGTTCTGTTGTTTTAAAATAGCTCTATTATCGATGTTCTCTGGGTCAAGCATTATTTTCATATCCATTTCCACTTGCTGCTGAAATATATAATAGGCATAGTCTTAAAATAACTGCACTAGGACAGAAGTGTTTATAAGCAGGAATTTGATAACTTGTTCATGAATTTGCGAAATTATGATAAAAATTCATGTTATTTGACTATCCACACAGAACTGGGCAAACAATGAAGAAGTGCCTTTTGATTAGATTGAAAACTTAGCAAGGCACACAACTACTATTCACATATACACTTTTGCCGAAATTTGTTCAATTAATTCCATTACAAGCTCTGAAATTTCCAGATTTGCACACCTTTGTCCTTTCCCCTCAAAATTTAACTCATCAGTTTTGACTCACTTGATTAACATCGGCCATTTGTGAATTCCATTTACCTGTGTTGTAATAAATGTTTTATACACGCCTTATATATTGGGAGGTTGTTATATGTGCATTCTTCCCACAGATGATAATAAGAATCCAATTTACCTGGTTCACGTTTGCCAGAGACTTTAATTCAGGAATCATTGACCTGATGGACCAGAACAGCTTCTTTGGATCGGTTATGGCCCATTGACTCAATGCAGAGAGAGCACTTGCATATAAGTAAATGAGGAAATAAAAAATCCTCAGTAATAAGAATTAAAACATAGTGGGTTTTGTGTACTGTGTTATCTGCATGGAATGGATTCAACTATTTTGCTAATAAAAATTATTATTTTTTAAATCCTGATGGACAGAGAAAGATTTTTAAAGTTTCTTCTTGTTATAAAAAGTATCTAAAGCACATACTTTTCCTATAAAAGCCAGAAGTGATGCCATATATTTTTACTAGAGTACAAGATTCTTAAGTTGAAAACATTTTGGTTCAGCTTAATGCACGTGCTTTAGTTTACACCTGGATCTGTATCAAGCATAGTAGTACCTCCCAATACTTTTATTGCAATAACATTGCGAATGAGACTCTGCATCCAACAGGGTTTATTTACCAACCAATGCCAAATGGAAGAATCCTCAAATGGCAGAAACTAGTGTATCACCAGGGAAGTCAACAGAGCTAAGGTAATTCAGAGGAGCTGGGGGCCTGGCAGTGTATGTGCTTAACTCCCATTGTATGGATATAGGAATACGAAAAGCTCCCTCCCTTCCATAGTAAGATCCAACTGAACATATTTATCCACAAGAACTCTCTGCTGATACTTCTATTATGTAAATGTAAAAAGGGAATTTATGAGACTGTCTTTTAAAAAAAGCCATAAAAAGTGTAAGAATCATTAAAGGCATATTTGAACTATTAAACAATTGTCTTACTTTGTGAAAGCACTAAAAATGGTTTAATTTATCTGCACAATATATTCTCTTCTTTTGATAGTAATTACAAGCAGATGTATCAATGAGCTGCTCATTTAGATTTGGGTTTGTAAGAACAAAAGTTATTATCCAAGCCAATTACTCCTTTACCCACATGGCTGCACAGAGACAGAAAGTTCAATTTTCACCTCATCAGTGATTTTGTGGTATTTATTTTATTACTATAACACACCGCTGTACAGAAAGGAAAGTGCTTGTGCTATTAAACAAGAATTGGGGGAAAATTGAGTACCTTCTCAATTAAAATAAGAGATGATTCACAATGCAGACTCCCCACTTAGACTGACAGTGAAATGATCAATGCTTGAGTGGCAGATTCCACACAGGATAACAAGAATTGAAATACTTAATAACAAAACCTGACAAAAGTGACAATTCTACATTCGCAGGAGCTGGAGCAGATGGTATCATGGGTCTCTTCCATCTATATTATCCATCCATCTATATTATCCAAAGTCTTAAATTTAAGCTATGTTGAACCATCTTGATGCAGAAGAAAAAGATGAGAATAGCAGGATGAATAGTGCATTATTACTAATATAGTGCTCAATAAGAATGAGAATTATAGTGCTCAATTATTAACATGGAGTATACTGGATTACACAGAACAGGTTGACATGTTCAGTACAGTTACAAGGTTCTTGTTCTACTTCAACACAAAATTCATTTCAGAGTGGAGGGCATTTTTAGCATGTAGTAAGACAACAAAATCTGATTCACTATATTGTTTTGTTTTGCAGATGCATGTGGTGTGTGATTTATAAGAGTCCAATTCCATTATAAATGGACTACGTTATATTAATCTTTGAAACAATCTGTATTAGCAGAAAGAACCACTTTTCACATCTAGCTATTTATGTTATTTGCATATTCTAGAGCCCCCTAGAAAAGTCTTTTAATTTACACCTTTAATTCTATCAATGATGAGAGAATACTAACTTCTACTGCATATTCAGAATGTCACAGAAAATATCAACTTCTAGAAAAAACAAAGCAAACCCAGAAAACAAAGCTGCACAAGCATCAGCCCAGGTGTATTCAATTAAGCACGGGGTTTTTAAAGAAAAAAATTACATTTGAACTTAGACACTTACCAGTTATGGATAACAACTTCTCTAAAGCCTCTGTATAGCAGTGGCTGAACAATTAACTGCACGGGGAAGACACCACATTATGGTTCTCAAGCTTTGCTAGAAGAAATCCAATTACCACACATAGTTGGGGGGGGCGGATAAAAGAGCGGGGACGATGACAGTGCTTCACAATTCCCACTATGAGCTAGATTTGCAGAGTCCTATCCCGCTGCTGATACAACTCAGAAATACTGTGTGTATGACTAAAGAATAATTTTAAGCCTATTCTGACACCTGTGGGCAAGCTATTTCCCATATGACAAGTACTCTAGCAATGCATATGTGAAAATAGCATCTGTGCTTATGTGACTCCAACCTTGGTTTATCCTAACTATACACACAACTTATCCTACAAACACAACTTATGCTCCATTTCTACTCTTGCATGACATATTATGGACTGCAAAGCACAAAAATATTACTGCAGAAATTATTAATTTCTCTCAGAAGCATTGTGAGTTGAAATGTTAATTTCCTCAAGCCTACGTACCCAGAAACACTGTCTGCAAACAGACAACTATTCAGTTCACTAATATTTCCTTTGAGTGGAAAGGAATTTCGAAGAACACCAACGTATGCTTACAAAACTCAAAGCTGTTTATAGCTACAAATAAGGAAGAGACAGGAAGTAAGGAATTGTAGGTGATAATTTCACAGCTGGATTTCACAACTACTTAATAATAAAAGCTTTTTATGTTGGCATGCCAGGCATGTAGAACAGCTGGGAAAACAGCACTGTTTGCCATTTTCTTTATTATGGGAAATTAGGGATAGCTTGTGTGTCACTGGATATGCAGAAATGAAAAGACAAAGAAAAGTCAAGGCAGGACAGAGCACAAACTCCACTATAAATTAAGCTCATTGGTACATATGAAGAAAGTGAAAATTGAAAGACCATAGATAGTACAGAGTTTACAGAGTAGCTGAACTCTGATAATTTTTTTTTTTTTTCCTCACAACGTAAGTGTATTCATACAGGACAGGGTTGGAATACCGGCTGGGAAAAACAAAATCAGATATCTCATTGCACCTTATCCATCATTTCAAGAGTAAGCAATATTTTAGTACTAGTTTATACTGAGACTTCTTTTACAAAGATAATCAGCAATATGAGTGTTAGGCTGCTCATTCTGGTTATACCATTTCAAGTAGCTTCTGTCCCTAGCTGCTGGTAACAGTCTTAGAACTATAGACAGCCTCTTAAGGTTCTCTCTCACTCAAAGCTCCCTTGGACTTAAACAGCAATAACCCCAAATTGTGACAACTGGTATTTTTCAATTCAACTAATTACCTTAATTTGTTTTTAAAATATGTTCGAGGAAACCACCTTGAACTCACCAGTCAATATACACAAATTAGAATAAAAAAGCAAAAATACTTTAGATACAAACATTTTAAGAAGGCTTTACATGATTTTACAGGGATTTAATTTACGATAAGTAGCAAAACATCAGATTTCTAGGAAAAAACCTATATTTATCATAGATGTGACTACCCTATACATGAATGGAAGTATATGAATGCTAGAACTTGCCATATCTTTTATGCAAAAAGAAAAAATGAGAACCACTTTTAGTCTCAAGCAACATAAACATTTATACCTGCACTCATGCTATTCCAATATATAGTTCCATGTATTTTAAACACATTACTTGCAGAATCACAGTTAAGCACACAATATTTGCAGGACTGGGATCTTAAAGCAGAACAAACATCTGGTTTCAGGACTCTTCAACAATATACTTGTGGGGAGAAATAAAGAATGGAGAGCTTGTGAATGCACTTATGATGATACTTAAGTCCTTCCTAACTTAGATTTTATCCTGACTGTAAGGCTGGAAGAAGGCTCCTATCTCTCAGCCCTCTCATTCTACTGAGAATTTTTTAACACTTTCAGTCATATATGGTATATTATCAAAAACTGAATCCATGTGGAGTCAGAAAATAACATTATGGGATCAACAGGTAACCTACAAGACACCAGTCTACTAATTTAATGTGGTCTCTGGCAGAATAATTAGTATGTTATTTCAGACCTGTGAACTTTGAGAAATGCGTAGTGCTGATTTGCTGTATGCCTGGACAGTCACGGGCTCAACAGGTACTCGTGGTAAAATAAGCTGTTTCTGAGAAGGATCAAAATGAAGCCCCCTGATTTAGAAAGAAACAAACAGTGAGGTTTTTAAAAATTACTTTGATGTTACCTATTAAATCCATACTGCTTCCATCTGGTTGAACCGGAAAGACTATATTTTTATTTAAATTTGCATTTAGTGAAAAAAATCACAGGAGTTAGCAGAAGATTGCTGTAGTTACTTAAAAAACAATACAAGAGTAAATGCAGTTCTAACTTGAACAAAATAAAAACAAAATAGCAAATGACCAAAATAAATGGGCCAATATTCCCATTTGCTTTACAAGATTCTGATACTGCACTTTTTCTGTCTTGCTGCTTGCGTTTGTCTCTGCCATAAAACAGCTGTTTCACTTACCATTTAGGGGGCTCTTTTGAATGTCCTCCTTCATTATCAGTAGAAGAAATAGTTAACACTTGTCTGTTTATAGCATTTAAATGATTTTCAGCATGTTTCTGTTAAGAGGAAAAAAAATAATGTTTTGACTATTTCAAAAGTGTGAGGAATATTAAATTTATTTAAGTCGGTTAATTTAGCAATCCAGATCTTCATTTGACTCAAAAGTTGATAGGCTTTGTGCTTCTGTTGAACTTAATCTGGTTTTAGCCAATGGGCACAAGATCAGTTAATTCTGATGAGCCAAAAGGGGAAGCCAAAAGAAGAAGCCATCATTCTGAACTGCAATGCCTGGTGGATCCCATCATTTGCTAATCAGAAAGGGGTCTTGCAGGGTGCCAAGTACGTGGCCCCACATACTCCTAAGTGAATTACTGACAAAGATCTCAAAAACTGAATTGTCTTCTGGATCTGCTCCATTTTACTTACTGTCAGCCCAAGTTCAGTTCTTTCAGTTGCTGCTTCCAGGTGGCTAATATCCACGGCTTTTACATTTCCCTTCAAGCTGACGTTTTTCACTTTGACTTTAAGCGTTTGAAGATCTTCTTGAACCTGAAAAGCAAGTTATGACAAAAAACATAACCAAAATCTGTGGAATTAATGTAGCAGGATTTAATCCAAATTAATTGCTTCCTAAATATAGGAAAGAAATATATGCAACTTCCCATACTTCCGTACTTTTATAAATAAAAAAAAATAATATAAAGCCATTAACTTTAAAGCCACTGATTGTAGAAAATCTGGAAATCTTAGTTTTAAAACTAATCGCACAAAGCAATGGCAATAAACTTCAGGACTGAGGTCCTTTGCCAAGGAAGGATCTTTCCTCACACATATAAACCACATCTTTTGGCGCAGATGGCGCAACTACGCAGGAATCTCAAAAGCGTTAACGAGGGACTGAAAAGTAGAGGCAGCCTGTGAGGAGATCGCGTCAGCCCGTGTCAAAACCGCATAGTTACACTGTTACAAAAAAGTTCGAGGTCGCATTATGCTAAGAACCCTGACATTTTCAAAGCCCAAGCCCTTATCCAAAATTCAGCGGCGCCGCTGCAGCCGCTCCTCCCTCCCACAGGGGCTGAGCCTTCCCGTCCCCTCAGCAGCAGGCCGCGCCGCCCGCACCTCAGCCGAGGTGTGAGGCGGCCTCCCCGGGGGAGGAGGAGTCCTGCGGGGGCTCGTCGCCACGGC